CTGCACACATATAAAATGTGTTGAAAGGGTATAATGGCTTTGTGAAAATGTATGTAACAGGCAGAAGAAAGCATAAAGTTGATATATTCTGGCTGTTGTTTATCTATCCGTCTGCCTAGATGTCAATCTATGTGCATGTATAAATGAATATAATTATCGATAAGTTGTCTTATTATTACGATAATCGATATCAATATGCCTTTTCTGAGATATAGCTCGAAGCTTATAAGAGACACAATATGTTCTATGTTAGTATGCAGACTTTCTATATAGATATTCATACATAGAAAGGAAATCATATTTTTGGAGCCTTAAGCTACAGTGAGGGCTTCGCTTTGGTACATACAAAAATATGCATGCCATATTTATATAGTGTAAATTTGATGAAAATCGGACAATAAACAACGGAGTTAAGATGGAAAGGTATTAGGGTATCTCCTAGTCGGGCACTCCCGACTAGGGCACGCACCCATTAAAATCGGGCAAACGTTTATTTAAGCGAGTGCATTGTAATTATTTTGAAATTTATTATTAAATTAATTTTAATTGTAATAATGCGCATGTTAAAATGGCCAATTTTTAACACACACACGCACACACACACAGACACAGCTGTGCCCTTGTGGTCATTTCTTATTTTTTCATTGATTTTAATTTATTTATGCAACACACACGCACACATACAACTACAGGCACACAGACACGTACGCAAACGAGTGCAGTCAGCGTTAATCATTTTCATTGGCAAAATAAAATGAAATTAAAAATGAATTTTATGCAAAAAGAGAATTTGCAATGTTTACAGTTAACACACACACGCACACACGCACAGCTGACCACATTTTATGCCTCATCTAATTGCAAGTTGAGTTTGCATCAGAATTCATTTCAGGCGTGTGCGTGTGTGTGTGTGTGCGTGTGTGTGCGTATATTTTAATTAACCCAAAAGCCAAACAAATGTCACAGCATGTGGGCGGGGCAAAGTGGGCTGCTGGGCGTGTCTGTGTGTCAATTGTTATTACGTGTGATTTGTAAACTAATATAACGGCTCAGCTGTGCCTCTGTGTGTGTTTGTGTGTGTGTGTGTGTGCCTCTTTATTTGTGGGCTGCACAATTTTCAACAGATTTTCCTACTTTCAGGCTAGTCGAGACAGCAGCAGCAGGGAATGCGGAGTATGAAACGTGGCTCGTTAGACCCGAACGGACGTGCTTAAAATTTCACAGGCTCACACACAGACACACACGCACACATGCAAACGCACACTCGTGGGCATTTGTAATGCGTGTGCTTGTGCTGTGTGCGTATCCTTTATGGATTAAATCCGCATGCCTGCGGTTGGCCACAAGATCAACTGTTGGCAGAAGTATGTCAACACGACGTCCGGCCAACGATGAGCTCACAGCAAGTGGTCATAATGGTTGACCTGTGCAGCTGTGTGTGTGCGTGTGTGTGTGTTGTGCTAATAATGACGCTTTAAGTGTGCCTGTGTGGCTGTGTGTGTGTATGTGTGTGCCTGTGTGCGTGTGTACGTGAGTGCGAGTTTTGAGTGCTAGCAACAACAAGGATAAGCCACAGTGCGTCATTTACACTCGTCGCCAGCAACATGCTGGGCATTGTTGCAGCCTCTGCTTGCTTGCTTGCCTCTTGTGGCATGTCCATACGCATTCTCTAATTGTAGGCGTATTTAACTCAACAATAACTCAATTAAAATGCATTTGGCATTAAACAAATAACAATTTGTTGATTCTCTAGCAATAAATTGCGACAATAAATGCCAGAAGAAAATTACTAAATTGGCCTACCCGGCGTATGCGCAATTTTGATTGGCATTCAAACTGAGACTTGATTTAATTGAACATTTATTTCAATTCGAATTATCGGATTGCATAGTTTCGATTGATTAGAATCACCAAGAATCGGCCTTTTCGTTTTATTTAAACGCATTTTTTAAATAATTAGTTAATATAATTTTTGTTAATGCATGAAAATGTGTTTAAAGTCCATCGACAAAAAGTTGTAAGCAACATTTTCCGCCCAAGTTAGTCTTGTGGCAGATACCTTAAAGGCGAAATCCTCATCAAAATATTTCAATAACTTTGATCCGAAGCATTAAAACTTGTAAAAAAATATATTTTGTTTCGACCGTTTTTGCGGTTCCTGTAAGCGCGATGTTTCGTATTGAACGGGTTATCCGCTTACAAATGGACATACAAATTATCCTTTTATTACCGATTAATCGACAAACCAAAATATACAACAAAATCTCTAAATCAGCTATGCAAAGGCCATTACAGAGGTAGTTCTCATGTCCTTTAAGGAACAAATAGTTCTCACCTTGGAAATTCACTAAATTTAACGAAAAGGTCGTACAAAAGAAGACTTTTTTAAGTCATAAGTTGTCTTAGACTTGTATACGGTATCCCGAAAAGTTCTCTGTCAAAATATTCGTTTTAATCGCGGCCGATTTTGGTATTTTGGATTCGTAAGGATAAGCATTACCGATTAGCATTAAACAAATCAAGGTCTAAATCAAGCAAGGGCTTACATCACGTTTTTTTTCTTCGAAAAATCGGGTCGATTTGAACTTTTGATAATTTTTTTGAAAATATCGGATAAATAATGTTCTGATAATGAAATGTTCGACCTTTCTGAATATGTACAATATCGAAAATCGAGGGGTTAAATCAAAGTTTTCATTTTATTGCGTCCCCTCAGCCTTAAGGATAAGAATTTCACCGAGCTATGTCTATTTTTCTGAAAAGGATATTAATCAATAGATCGCCCATAACTTGACTATTTTAAAGACTATCTTAATGTCCGTTGGCCGACAGATTGTTCTCATCCTTCCTATTGAGAATGTCAAAAAAAACGGCTGAGAGTCCTTTAAACCGCAAAGATATAGGGACATTTGCTTTGTAAATTTATATGCCGATTACTCTGCCGTATCCTTGCGAATCCTGGCAAGTAATGTCTCAAAAAATTCCTCTGGACAAGAACCATAAACTGACCAAAGGACATCCAAATCGTCCTTGTGGTTGCTGAGAAATGGCTACTTTTTTAAAAAGGACATTCTATTTATAGTCATAACTCTTTCAAATCCTGAAGGATATCGGAAGGATATACCTTTTTGAACTCGTGGGCAGAAGGACTATCGATTGGCATTCAAGGATTTGCATGATTCGACAAAAATTTTTGCTAAAATTTTTCCTAGGGGTAAGGTCGCAAAAGTGTCTAAAATCGAAAAAATCCGGGCTAACTTCGCCATTTGAAGGACTATCGGGATGTCCTTTGGACAGAAAATAGTCCTCACCCTCCCATTAAATAATATACACTCCAAAGGACGAAAGTCCTTCAGACAGCGAAGTTTTAAGGACAATTTTGTGCAAAGAAAATAGGCCATAACTCTGTTATATCCTTGCGTATCCTGACGAGTCCTGTGTCAAAAAAATTGTATTGACTAGGACTTTCAACTGGCCAAAGGACATCGCGATCGTCCTTGTAGTTTTTGAGATATGGCAATTTTATTGATTTTTTGTGATTTCAGCCAATTTTCGTTGGGCCCGCGACTGAAAATTTGCCAAGTCCATGATTCTTAGATGACCCCCTAATCTTTTGATGCAGATCGATGCAGTTGCTCTCCACGATCCTAACGCACCATGTCCTTTGAAATTCTGCAAGGATATGGCCGAGTTATGTCCATTTTTCTTTTCAAAAATACCCATACACATTTTGTTAAAACTTTATTAAAATGTGTTTTTTTCTTTACAGATCGACTACAAGGACGATCGCGATGTCCTTTGGCCAGTTGAAAGTCCTAGTCAATACAATTTTTTTGACACAGGACTCGTCAGGATACGCAAGGATATAACAGAGTTATGGCCTATTTTCTTTGCACAAAATTGTCCTTAAAACTTCGCTGTCTGAAGGACTTTCGTCCTTTGGAGTGTATATTATTTAATGGGAGGGTGAGGACTATTTTCTGTCCAAAGGACATCCCGATAGTCCTTCAAATGGCGAAGTTAGCCCGGATTTTTTCGATTTTAGACACTTGCGACCTTACCCCTAGGAAAAATTTTAGCAAAAATTTTTGTCGAATCATGCAAATCCTTGAATGCCAATCGATAGTCCTTCTGCCCACGAGTTCAAAAAGGTATATCCTTCCGATATCCTTCAGGATTTGAAAGAGTTATGACTATAAATAGAATGTCCTTTTTAAAAAAGTAGCCATTTCTCAGCAACCACAAGGACGATTTGGATGTCCTTTGGTCAGTTTATGGTTCTTGTCCAGAGGAATTGTTTGAGACATTACTTGGCAGGATTCGCAAGGATACGGCAGGGTAATAGGCATATAAATTTACAAAGCAAGTGTCCCTATATATTTTCGGTTTTAAGGACTCTCAGCCGTATTTTTTACATTCTCAATAGGGAGATGAGGACAAAGGACATTGGGATAGCCAAATTATGGTGATTAATATCCTTTTCAGAAATATAAGCATAGCTTGGTTTTATCCTTATGCTTTTCAAAATCAGGCAATATTTGCCCGAGATATTCAAAACAATTATCAAAAAGATTTGATTTGAAACCGACCTCGATTTTGATAACGTTTTTCGTCGACTTGGATGAAAATTAACATTTTTATTTATTGATGCCAATCGATAATTCTGATCCTTACGAGGCAAAAGTGCTATATCATCAAAATTGGGCATTATTTTTTTGTCAACTTGTTTTTTTAACTCCCCCTCGCTTATTAATTTCTTTGAATGCCAATTAATAGTAGGGATCCGTACGAATTTAAAAATGTATAACATTTCAAAATTTAATTTTATTTACCCCAAATGCTGTCCATGAATAAGCAAACTTATCCTTTTCAGAAAAATAGACATGGCTCGGTCAAATCCTTACGGATTTGCAAAGGACTAACTTGTGTGGATCATGTGAACTAACTGCATTTCAGCATTTGAGGGGGAGACAGAATTAAATTAAAATGATCATAATTACCTGCAAAGCTCCTGTTTGGCATTATGGAATCCTAGTGTACGGGAAGACTGTGAAGATCAGGGTCCTGCAAGTCAAAACACTTCACAAGCTGTCAGGTGCTTCCTGCTACAGGGATCTAATAAATATACAGGCCGCGAATAATATCACTCGGCTTGGAAATCATTTGAATCAACTCACCAGGCTGCGTCTAAAGAGACGTTGGAGAAGTCCGACAGCAGAGGAGTTTGCGGAAGTTACATCAAATCGATCTCTCGGATCGGTTTATATAGTCAATCTAATTTGGTTAATCCTCGTCTATTCGATCTATCTGTAAAATAAGTAAGTTTAATTTAAGTTTTTCATTTAACACACAACATTTATTTGAAAAATAAAGTAAATTCTTTGCATATGCTCTTATTACCAATTATATAGATAGTATATATTTATTTGTATATTCGTATACGTATTATTATCGCCTTCAACCTTTGGTTAGCCAACGGACACATTGCTGAATGGCAGTCATAATTGAGGTTGTGGGCATGATGTGCATTTCATAAATTATACAGGAAAGTGCTGCGGCATGTGTGTGCGGGAGTGCGGGTGTGTGGGTGTGTGGCTGTCAGGACGATAAACTCGTATTCAATATGAATATGCGTGGAAGTCCTTGAGCAGGAAACAAAATACAACCAGCACAAACACACTCGAGGCACACACACACAAACATGCACACACACCCACACACATCATGAATTGATGGTCAATGCATTGAGGCAAGTAATAAACTTATTGGCCCAACGGCTTTTCGTTGATTGTGCGTATGTATGGCACAATATGGCGTCAGTCAGTCAGTCATTCAGTCAGTCATTCCGTCAGTCAGTCAGTCTGTCGGGGGGTTGCCATATCCATGACCAGGCAACATCGTTAATGTGGAACTGTTAAACAGATAATGACCGGGCGTGGGGCATGCCACATGGACATGACCATGGTCTGAATTGGCCAAAGCTGTAGGATGATAAGGATGATGACGATGTGAATAATGTGGAGGATGATAATGATGTTGGGATGACTGCTGCTGCTTCTGCTGTTGCTGCACGCGTGGACGGAAACCAGACAACTGTCATGCTGAAATTCTGATGCATTGAAATATAATTATTGGGAAATGTGCGATTGTCGTTCTGTTTCCGTTTACGTGCCACACACATACACACGCAATCAATTTATGACTGTGTATGTGTGGGTGCACAGCGTAATGCGCCCCATCGGGCAGCCACTGTATCGATTATGTTTCGGTGTTGTTGTTGTTGTTTTTGTGCTGCTGTTGCCACTGTATGCCAATACATTTACACATACAGACATCCGTTACCTTTGCCACAGCACATCATAATTTATGCAAGCAAAATGACATAACAGTTACAATATAATAAGCTGACATTCAGATACAGATACAGACACACATACAACTACAAATCTTAATACGTCTACAGATGCAGATACAGATACAAATACAGACACATATACAAATATGTACACAGATACAGATACAGATACAGATACAGATACAGATACAGATACAAATACAAATACAAATACAGATACAAATACAGATACAAATACAGATACAAATACAGATACAAATACAGATACAAATACAGATACAGATACAGATACAGATACAAATACAAATACAAATACAGATACAGATACAGATACAGATACAGATACAGATACAGATACAGATACAGATACAGATACAGATACAGATACAGATACAGATACAGATACAGATACAGATACAGATACAGATACAGATACAGATACAGATACAGATACAGATACAGATACAGATACAGATACAGATACAGATACAGATACAGATACAGATACAGATACAGATACAGATACAGATACAGATACAGATACAGATACAGATACAGATACAGATACAGATACAGATACAGATACAGATACAGATACAGATACAGATACAGATACAGATACAGATACAGATACAGATACAGATACAGATACAGATACAGATACAGATACAGATACAGATACAGATACAGATACAGATACAGATACAGATACAGATACAGATACAGATACAGATACAGATACAGATACAGATACAGATACAGATACAGATACAGATACAGATACAGATCAGATACAGATACAGATATAGATACAGATACGATACAGATACAGATACAGATACAGATACAGATACAGATACAGATACAGATACAGATACAGATACAGATACAGATACAGATTACAGATACAGATACAGATACAGATACAGATACAGATACAGATACAGATACAGATACAGATACGATACAGATACAGATACGATACAGATACGATACAGATACAGATACAGATACAGATACAGATACAGATACAGATACAGATACAGATACAGATACAGATACAGATACAGATACAGATACAGATACAGATACAGATACAGATACAGATCAGATACAGATACAGATACAGATACAGATACAGATACAGATACAGATACAGATACAGATAGATACAGATAAGATACAGATACAGATACAGATACAGATACAGATACAGATACAGATACAGATACAGATACAGATACAGATACAGATACAGATACAGATACAGATACAGATACAGATACAGATACGATACAGATACAGATACAGATACAGATACAGATACAGATACAGATACAGATACAGATACAGATACAGATACAGATACAGATACAGATACAGATACAGATACAGATACAGATACAGATACAGATACAGATACAGATACAGATACAGATACAGATACAGATACAGATACAGATTACAGATACAGATAGATTCAGATACAGATACAGATACAGATACAGATAGATATAGATATAGATATAGATATAGATATAGATACAGATACAGATACAGATACAGATACAGATACAGATACAGATACAGATACAGATACAGATACAGATACAGATACAGATACAGATACAGATACAGATACAGATACAGATACAGATACAGATACAGATACAGATACAGATACAGATACAGATACAGATACAGATACAGATACAGATACAGATACAGATACAGATACAGATACAGATACAGATACAGATAAGATACAGATACAGATACAGATACAGATACAGATACAGATACAGATACAGATACAGATACAGATACAGATACAGATACAGATACAGATACAGATACAGATACAGATACAGATACAGATACAGATACAGATACAGATACAGATACAGATACAGATACAGATACAGATACAGATACAGATACAGATACAGATACAGATACAGATACAGATACAGATACAGATACAGATACAGATACAGATACAGATACAGATACAGATACAGATACAGATACAGATACAGATACAGATACAGATACAGATACAGATACAGATACAGATACAGATACAGATACAGATACAGATACAGATACAGATACAGATACAGATACAGATACAGATACAGATACAGATACAGATACAGATACAGATACAGATACAGATACAGATACAGATACAGATACAGATACAGATACAGATACAGATACAGATACAGATACAGATACAGATACAGATACAGATACAGATACAGATACAGATACAGATACAGATACAGATACAGATACAGATACAGATACAGATACAGATACAGATACATTTACAGATACAGATACAGATACAGATACAGATTCAGATCCAGATACAACAAGAGTAACAATTGCAACTGCAGCTCAGTTAGAAAAACCAGCAAAGTTTCCACCCAATCCGTAGAGGAAACAACGGACGAAGTGGAAGACGAAGAAGAAGCAGCACAACAAACAGTAATTCCGAAATGAATTTTATTTAACAAATATATTAACAGCTACAACAACTACAACAACAACAAGAACCGCAGGCAAAAAAGCACAGCGAACATATGGAAATGGAAATGCGACGTCGCGTCGCTGCAGCCTCACACTGTTCATATGTAAAAACACACACACCCATGCACAAGTACATACATGTATGTATGTATGCATAAGCGTCGTCGCCCCATCGCACTTGTAGGGCAGGCAGCGGCAGAGCATTTATGCCAGCGGCAGCGCTGCCGGCAGAGCAAGGCAGCAAATACAACAAAATAAAAACACAAAATGAAAAGCACAAAAAGCGTAACGCGACGACGGCGACGCTAGCAGCAGCAGCAGTAACAACAATAACAACAACAATAACAACTCGACAGCAGCAACAACAATCAATTGGCAATCTGTCCCACTGAAAAAACAATTGCACAGACACACTCACAAACACACTCACGTGCGCCGTTACTGATGAGCGTACGAGAGTGCCGCTCTATTTCAGTGTTGCAGTGCTGCCAACAGCAATGTTGCCGTGCTGCAGGCTTGCTTGCTCACTCTCTCTATCTCTCTTACAAAAGCACACACACACACACGCAAAACCACTCTCTTGTTTGCTCTCTCTCCCTCTCTCTGCTGCGCTCTCAGTCATTCGTGTAGCCCGGCATCCCCGCAATAAACTCAACGCATAACAAAAAGCCAATTTTGTTACTTAAATGTTTACGCTTGTGTTTATCTTTTGTATTCGGTTTCTTATTAGGTTCTCATCTCGTTCTCATCGTTTAACAATTTGAGATATGATGGGAGCTGCGCCAGCAGCGACGTCGCTGCTTTTGATTGCATTTGTATGTGTGCGTTTGCCTGTGGTTTTGATTTTGATTTTTGTTCTGCTGCTGTTGCGACCCATGGCAGCGACAGAGGCAGCGGCGGCGACGCGCGCTGTTGCTGTGCGTTGTTTTTGGGGGGCTTTTGCTAATGAGTGTGATTTAGACTTGTCGAGCTGGTTTATTATTTTGCGGTGTTTGCGCTCTTGTTGCTGCCGATGTCGTTGTCGCTGTCGCTGTTGTTGTTGCTCTTGCTGTTGTGTGTGCGCTTTTGTGTTGCTGTGTTGCTCTCCTCCCAACGCTCTTGATTGATGTTGTTGTTGCAGCAGCGACGGCAGCGGTTCGACTGCGGTTTTGTATTTAGATTAAATAGTTTTGACAGCTTCCAAATTGTTAATCTACGTACTATGTGAGAGCTTTTGACGCGATTTTTAGCTAATTAGCGAGATCTAAATTAAGATATTATTTCAATATTTTAAATGTTCTTAATTTCAGAGTATTTCAAATATTTCACATTTAATTAGGCACTTGAAATATTTATAAATTTAATTAATCCGCAATGACGATAATAATTGTTAAATATTGAAAACTCTTTAATATTCACTAAATCACACATTACA